GCGCCGGCGCCCGCCCCGTAGCCGCTTCGCTGCGAGTTGGGCGCAAAGGAGCAAGAAGTAGGCTCGGCATTTTGGAACAGAGAAGCCCCCGCCGTATATTTGCTAAAAAGCGCGTTCACATAATACGAAGAACTCATAATTTTGACCTGTGATTTGTTGTCCGGCAGCTTTCAGTGTCGGTTTTACGAGGTAGCGTGATATATGATAACATTACACCCCCAGATTTACACCAAACCCCATTTTCTTTTGGACGGAGCTCGCCGCAGCACGTGACCGCCCACATGACCGCCTCCGCCAATCTCCGCAGCCCTCACAGGTGGTCTCGCTCCGCGGGGCCCGCGGCCGCCTAGAATGGAAGGGGAAAGGGCTCCAACGAGTAGCCCACGCCTGTGCCCGCGCGTGGCCGGCCGGGCGCGTCCTGCGGGGAAAGGCCCCCCGGCTCCGCGGGGCCCTCCTGACCGCCGCCAACCTGGACGCCTGGCCTGCAGAGGCTGCGCGGGGCCGACAGGGCGCGACCGAACCCTGGACCAAGCCTGCGGGTCCTCTCTGCCCACTGACCCCGCCCAGGGAGGGGGTCTGCACCCCGCGCACCCCAAAGTGGCCCCGTGGGCAAGTCTCTGCGCGGGGTGAATCGGCTCTTTGCCCGCGTCTCCTCAGGCCCAGGTCCCGCGGGCAACGGGCCGACTTAGAAATCGAATTCAGACGGGGCCGGCGCAGCGTCGTTTCCATCGGCAGCGAGAAGGCCGCTGCAGACTGGAACCATGTGGTTCGAATAAAGTCAAGGTCTCCGGGCTTCCTTTCCTTAATCAGGGCGCACTGTTTATCCGCCCTAAAGGAAGCGTGAAGTATTTACCTGTTAATGAGCCTCATTCGCCAACAGATTTACTAACGTGGGATTCCCTTCCCTCCTCCTGGACACTGCTGGCCCCTCGGGCTCTGTGCTTTCGCTTTGGGCACCTGCCTGGCCTCTGGCAGCCCCAGAAACGGATGGGCATTCTTTTGTCCTCCCACCCAGCAACCCTGGATTCTCCCTGGCTGCACCAAGTCTCCCCCAGCTTGGAGGAGCCCCAGGCCCTGCAGCTTTCCGGGTACCACTGGTATCCTGAGGTTCCTGGGAGCCTTCCCTGTGGCCACCCCTGCGCTTCTACCGCTCCTCGTGGGCCTGAGTGCCTGGGAGCAATAGATGCTGTAGAGCCAGTTTGGGGAGGAGAGAGGGAGGCCCAGGCACCTGGGGACTGCAGCCCACGCTGGGTCTCCCTTCCTTTTG